GAAACCCTTGACACACTTGATAGAAAGTGCCGGCTCTCAAACTTTTCATCATTCCAGGAAACACATGGTCTTTGCGTGGGTGTGACATGACCTTCAGAATACCACAAGCAACATGGCTGTCCCCGGCGTTGGCCTCGTTGAAATATTTAACAAGGTCGTGTCCGTCTTGGCTTGTAAAAGCTACACGTCTTTAGCACGGAGCCTTGCAGAACTGCCCATTTTCACTTAAAAGTGGCGCGGCACTACGCGTCGAACGTCGTGGCGCTAATAACGTTGTGCTGTTGTCATAGTAGCGTCTGACATTGCTCCCCCACACGGTGAGATTGATTTATTTTTTTAGCCTCGTTAAATCTGCCTTTCATCTCACGTGCACTTATGTTTCACACAAGCCAACACACATTTCACCGAGTCAAAGTCACAAAACAAACCACACCTCACCACCACCACACTCATCAATCATGTTCAATCATTGTGAGTAAAGCGCTTGTCACGCCTCCTCAAAGACACCCCGATGCATCACAGCAGTTCCAAGTCTACTATTTGGCTCCACTTGCACCTTCTTTCTGGAGTCTTATCGTCACACAGGCACCATCGACTTGAGGGTATGCGGTGGTCTTGCGCTTGACTTTGCTTGGCTTTCATCCCACACGTATGTGAATGTTTAAATCATGACTGCAGCGCTCATCAGTCCTTGAGTTGTCCAACCCAAACACTCACCTGTCTTCTCTCGCCACGTCGCTTATTGATCAGCGCTTACACGCTTTTAAGCCAAGCGCGAGTCATTAGGCATGCAGTTTCACGCCGCAGCTTCTTTACGACTCCTGACAGCGAGGCCACAAGTGCTTCGTCTTTGATATGCATATTTGATTATTTCATCACCCAACCCACCGAAGCCGCTCAAAGGCAACATCCATGGCCTCCCCTTGAACGTTACCTCTGGTTTCTAGTGGCTTCTTTAGGAGGTCTCCAAAACCACTGCCGTCCATTTTGTCTTTCTTCTCGTCAGCTCCAATTGCATCCATGGCCGAGCATCTGAAAGACACAAACGCAAGAGGGAAGTTTAGCGGTCAGCAAGCGGCTTACGCTCAGGGGGGCAATCAAAACAGTGGATGTGCCGTGTCCAAAAATCGCACTCAAAATGCACAGCTCTGGGGGAGGGAAAAAAAACATAAGAGATTAAACAACTAAACAATTTACCAAAAGAAAACAAAGAGGACCTGAAAAACAAGTATGGACTTTGTGACATATACACAGCAAGCAGCGTTGGCCCAATTATGTTGACGTTTACAGAAAACAATTCAATTTCTTTATCTTTTCTTCCTTCTATTGTCATTCTCTTCTTTTGTCTTTTTTAATCTATCATCTTCTATCTTCCAACTTTTATCTTCGATCTTCTTCTGTCTTCCATCTTCTACTATCTTATTCTATCGTCTTATCTTCTTTCATCTTGGAGTCATTCACAGGACCAATGTAACTGTTATTGTGGGTCTCATGAATAATAATTTTTAAAGAAAGACGTGCGGTAATTTACAAATAGATTCCTAAAATGTATGAACTGAAAGTCTGATGATGTCATAATAATCCTGTGCTGGTATAGTGCTGGGAACATCTGATTTTGTTCAATCTTTCATTGAGGTCACTTTTCAACATAGAACTAGAATATGTCCTGTCCTCGTATTCATTTCACTTCTTGTTCTAATTGTAGCTCACGACGACGAAGAAGCTACTTACAACTTGCACTACTTACAACTTGCACTCATTGTTTATTTTGCCCTTTTAGCTTGGGCATGGGCGGCATGGCTCAGTGATAGAGTGGTTGTCTCCCAACCCAGAGGTTGGGGGTTTGATCCCCGGCCATTGCGACCTTGTGGAAGTGTCCTTGAGCAAGATACTGAACCCCCGGTTGCTCCTGATGCCGCGTCATCAGTAGGTCAATGAGGACACAGGGTAAAGCGCTTTGAGTACCAAAGGTAGAAAAGCGCAATCTCAGTGACAGCCCATTTACCATTTAGCTTGAACGCAAGCTATGTGTGTGCCGTGGAGGCCGGCAAAGCGACCAGCTGTGAGTGGCAGACACACACACATGCACACACAAATATGCAAGTGTAACCAAGCTCACATGAACAACGATCCCGCCAGGGCACAATTGCAGATCCAGATTACAAATCAAATGAGATCAGGCTGGGGGAATAATAATGAATTTCAACGCTGAATTATGAATGGTGCTCTTGTCACCCTAACAAACGACCGTGCATCTCAGCCCAAAAGGTCACGGCGCAGTAGAGTACAATCTCTGTCAATTCCTTGCCAGCGCACCCCTTCACAAGGGCCACTTGCTGGAATTTATGGTCGGGCCCGCCACCTATTCTCCTTTGAATAATAGTGGTCCCGTAAAAGAAGCCTGAGTCTAAAATAGACTGCGGCTTGGAAGGAAGCGAGTTGTTTATTGTGTGTGTGGCTGGTGTGCAAATAAAGGCGAGCAGATGACGTTGAGATTTATAGGACCAATCAAACACGATCTGACATCCAGCTCAGACCTGCTTTTGGTTTTTCTCCGTTGGGCAATTTTCAAATTGAATACAAGTTTAGATAAATAACAACCATATTTTGGTTCACTTATTGCTGCTCTAGCTTCCTCGCAGAATCCCAAAACATAAGGAATATATTTAAAACACGCAGATGAGAGAGACGGATGTACAGTATGCTGAACACAATTACAGCAGACCAGCCTGCAAGAGGTAGAAACCCTCACATTGATTTTCCGAACTAGCCATGTCAGTTGGATCAAACGGTTACATGTTCATAATGTGACTAATTTTTGACAAATTAATTGGTAATGTAAGCATCAAGGCAGCAATTCTCAAAGCGTGGCACAATTACCAGTAGTGGTTCACAGGCTCCCACTAGTTGTACACAAAAGAGTCGCTGAATTAATTTGAAATAAAATTTACAACATTAAAAAAAATGACATACAATCAAACATATTAGAATGAATATTGTAGCTGTGCACAAAGCCTTTTTTAGAAATGTCTTTGAATCCAGGAGAATTGTTTTGGAAAACGTTTTTAAGTAGAGATTTTTCAAGTGCAGTTCAGTTGTATTTAACTTGAAATTGCAAAACATGAGCATTTAATGGTAATAGAGTTTTTATTCAACTTTGATGTGCAACATAGTTGAAAGAATATTATTGAAGTTGTTGTTTCATAGTGTTCATGTTCGAACGGTGCATAACGTTACAGTGGCTTACAATTTTGTGTGTGTGTGTGTGTGTGTGTGTGTGTGTGTGTGTGTGTGTGTGTGTGTGTGTGTGTACATGTTTGTTTTTATTTGGGCCTGCAACATTAATGTCTTGTAATCATTATTTATGTATTTATTTTAGTAGAAGGTTTGAGAAGCACCATATTATGGGATCATGGGGAGTGAGTAGGTCATTATTGTCATTATTATTAGCACCCACAGCTCTTTCAGATTAAAAGTTTGGAGTGGTTTCATAAACTATCCTTGACAAAGGCAAATGTGTCATCAGGGAGGCTGCTCTTGCTACTCTTCACTGGTGGAAAAACAGACATACATCTTTGTTAGCCACAGTGTGTTAGCTTGCTTGCTATCTACTTCAGTGCTAGAAACAGAGCAGTACGTTCTCCTTTGTCAAAATAGGCTTGAATTTTTCTATTTACTGCCTGAGATTCTTATTGCTGAAGACCTTGGAGTCTAATAAGATGTCTGAAAAAAAATGGGACATCAGCATCATGGACGAACAAGAACCAGGGAGCAGTAACAGCATTCGTGTCTGTGTTCAAAAATTCTCAGACGAATCTACAAAACACGCACGCGCGCACGCACGCAGGCAGGCAGGCAGGCACGCCCACACACACACACACACACACACACACACACGGATAAAGTGTATTGTTCCAGTTATTATTATTAGTGAACTTATCTTTTTTTTTGTTTTGTTAGTCATTCCTCAATTTTAGCAGAGCTGTGTTGTTTTAATAGCATATACCCGTAATTATTTTCATCTCAGTTGGAGCATTATGCCACTTGATTAAAAAAAAAAAAAAAGCTTTTGCACACAGATATTTTTTTTCTTCTTTTTTACTTAAGTATATGAACCCTGAAAACTAATTGATGCCATTTCCGCTATATTCATCAGTAGTTTTAGTTAGTTTTATAAACGTAAGATGCAGTTCCAGTTAGTTTTCAAGTTTGTAAAATAATTTTTGTTTTTATTTTATTTTGTTAATGTTTTTACTTATTTTGTTAGCTTTCGTTATTTATAACAACCTTGCTGTTCACCAGGAATCACATAAGTTGACCTCATGCAAAACAAAGACGGCTGACCACATGGAGACGTCGAGCATTCCTCTGACTCTCCCCTACATAGCTTTTTTTGCAGGTACCCCCGGCCATCCAACACACACACACACACACACACACACACACACACACACACACAAACAGATAGACACATGCTGCATGTTTCGTCTTATTTTGGCGTATGTAGCAAAGCTCCGCTCTGAGGGAAGCTGGGGCAAAAAAGGGAGAAATGCTTCCCAGAGGTCTTCAGAAGTCCTGTCAAATCTTTTGCTCTTGACACCCAGTGTTTCAAGTATGTGTTTGGATCACATGAGACTGCTTCCTATCGGTGGAGATTTACTGAAAGGCCAACTCCTCAAGCACCCCAAAGCACTAAATGATCACACGCTTCTTTTCAGTTGTCAGCTTATTACATGGGTGTTGGGGCCTGAAGACAGCTGATTGTTATCTTTGGATGAAAGACATAGCAGGAGTTTTTATTCTTTGCCCCCTGTCCGTACTGTGATGTGCCGGTGGCTCACGGCATATAAGTGTGTGAAAAGCAAGTGAAGGCACCCACGGTGGTATTTTAGGAAAGTGACACACAACACATCCCGTACATTTCAGTCTGACTCGTGTGAAGGGCCCCCTTAATTTGTTCACATCCTTTGACCCCCTGTGGAAGGTCAAAGAATGTTTTAAACTTCTTCTCATGAACATTTGCATTCCACACCCTTTCCAAACCAGCCTTCAGGCTTGCAGTGTGTGGCCTTTCTCAGTCCAGGCCACAACTCAATTCAAACAACTTTTAGAATCATCCATACACTTTCCGCACTTATCATGACAGTCACAGGTGTTGTGGAGCCGATAACGGCTGAATTCGGGCGAGAGGTGTTGCCAGCCAGTCACAGCAAACAAGCATTCACACCAACAGGCAATTTAGACCCTTCAATTAGCTCACCATCGATGTTTCTGGAATGTGGGAGTAAAGTGGAAGAACATGCAAACCCCACACAGGTAGGCCAGAGTCTGGATTTGAACCCCCAACCACAGAACTGTGAAGCAACGTTGCTAACCATGAGCTCACTATTGCACCCATTCAGAATTATACTGTATTTATTTAAACGTTCTTATGCAAATTCCTAAATTCACATGTCACGCTCCAATCACTTTCATGGTTTAAACAATTAAATGCCCAATTTAAGATCAAACCACAAAATGTATTTCCAGCTTTGATTTTGATTAAAATGTATTTGCATGCAAAAAATGACTATTGTAGAAAACACAGATGTACAAAATTATAGCAAGTACTGATACTCTATTATAGCAAGTGCAGTTATTATTATTATTATTATTATTACGATTATTATTATTATTATTATTATCAACTCTACAATAATAAACAAAAACAAAACTATTCCTAATTGTATTTAATTTCGAATTAATTCGCTTTAAAAGTTTCATACAGGGACGCGACTCACCCACTTTTCTTGACCCGGCAACCAAATCTCCGTTTGGAAGGCGTATTCAAGTCATATTTTGCTTCTCAGCATCAAGTGAAAAGCTCAAGGCGAGCGGACGGGGTCTTCCGACTGGATCCAGAAGTTCGTTGCAATCGGAATGATACTTTGTGGGTACGGCGCACGCAACTTCTCCGAGTGGATCGGCGAAACTTTTTGGGTGGCGATGCTGCGAGCTGGACACTCACCGCGCTGCTACTAAACCAAACCCCCCGCCCCAAAACCTCCAAACCCCCCAATCCCTCCTGTTCG